GGGCGGGCGTTATCACCTCGGAGAATCGTGTCAGTTTCCGCGTGCGCGAACGCGTGCGGAAGTTGATGGACCAACACCACCGCGTGGGTGGTTGACTGGCGGAAGCAATGTGCCATCTCTACACAAATCATATCTCTCCAACAGATACAAGTGCATAAAGAGAGAAACGCTGTGTTTATTGGTGGCGCCACTGTTGCAAGGCTTTCCTGTTTTTGGCTAATCTTGCACGAAAATCGCCAGAAGTGAAGCGACCATCTTGGGCCGTTCCGAGGCCGGAAATCCTTACTGTGGTGGGGCCGTGCTTGGCGCGGCGGCGGTCATGAGGGCAGCACGCATGTGGGCGCTTCTCCGCTTATGATAACCGCCCATGGAGGGATTATGTGTGGTACGCCAGTCTCCGTACGTGCGCTGGGCGGCCTGTTGCGTGCAGAAGTCTTGAGATGGTGCGTTAGGAAGGAGAATAGGAAGGGTGGTCTTTCCGATGGTTGGTAAAGACAGGCGACTGCACGGTCGGTCTCTGGAGCGCCGCAGACCTGAAGCTGTCGTTTGGCAACCCTTCACATAAACTGAGAAGACAACTACGTCTGGTCTTGCGCGTCTACTGAGTACCTCGGCTGGTATGATCTACGGTTTTCTATTTCGTTGACCGGAGCTAAACGCTGAAAAAATGAGCTAAATGGAAAACACGCAATAGTCGAAATGATAAACAACAGAGGAAGGGTCAGCTACTCATGCGCGGTGTCGAGAAAGAGTACGTATGAGGATTCGTTTGGCTTTAGGGCTGTCTTCACAAAACAAGCAACGTTTTGTTGGAACTGGAAGGTTACGAAGGGAATGAAAGAAGTGGACGAAGTAGACAAAGATGATGATGATGATGATGATGATGATGATGATGATGATGATGATGATGATGATGATGATGGTGGTGGTGGTGGTGGTGGTGGTGGCGGCGGCGGCGGCGGCTATGATGATGATGATTATTGTTATTATTATTATTATTAAGATGCTAGTCATAGGGAAGAGGAGGAAGAAGAGGAGGAAGAAGAGGAGGAAGAAGAGGATGAGGAAGAGGAGGAGGAGGAGGAGGAGGAGGAGGAAGAAGAAGATGATGATGAAGAAGAAGAGGAAAGAGTGGGAAAGGAGGAGGACGACGAAAGGCAAAGTAAAGATGGCACAGAAGATTAGGAAAATCTCGAGAGGACACAGGTCAAGGAGTGAAACTCAGGGGTACAAATAATACCAAGATGTATGAAAAGAAAAAGAAGGAAATCACCGAGGTTAGAGTTACATTAGATCGTAAATGTAATGGAGGAGGACGAGACGAAGTTAAGGTTGTCGGGAGAAAGAAGGATTGCCCAAAAATTTTAGACTGATAAAGTGAGGAGATGCAAGTTAATCGTTTATGAAAATAAACAAAAGTGAGGCTGGACATGTGAGCAAACCCCGATAAGATGTGGTTATGTAGCCCCACCTGATGGGCACAATACTGTTGGGGTCGGGGTTAGGGGTTAGCGCAACTAGTTCTCAGCCATTCAAAGTACAACCGCGCATTTCCAATAGCTTTTCTTTTGCATACAACTGTTTGACCCCACCTGTAAAAACCCCTATCATCACCGGTCCCGTATTAGAGGTGACTGGGGTTTGTTTACTTCAGGTGGGGCTACGTAACTACATTCAACCCAACCCCCCCCCCTTCCCCACCAGTACTACAGTCGACAGGGCACTAGATTTCAAGAGACACCTCTTCTCGTATCCTAACTCTAACCCACTTAGCCATAACCCTAGCCTTCCTATCTTCATCGCTAACGATAACACTAGTCCAACCCCCTCCCCTTCCCCTGGAATTTAGCTCACGGCCACAGGCAATATGGGGGGGGAGTCGATGTTCCCATGCCCCGCGAAAAATAAGTTGAAAGAACCTTAGAGGAAGAAACGCGAAACGTGCTTCTTGAGGACAAGATAAGAGATTATGAGATTAAAAACGCGTGTAAGACTCTATAAAAAAAGAGGAAAGAAGGAACGGATGTGTGATAAACTGCGAGGAGGCGTAAGTAGGGTGTTTGCGTACTCACCTATTACAATCGGCTGGCCGTCCTTCAACCAATCAACTCGGAGCGAACCGTCGTAGGGTGTGATCTCGCCCATCAGGCGGACCGCCTGACCCTCGGCAACGTTGGGCTGCGCACAGCTGATATCCCGTGCAAAGCTCGGCGGCGCCACGCTGTGTGCCTCCTGCTCCATCTCGCGTTCACGTCGTGACATTTCATCGTAGGCCTCATTCTGCATTGACACTGTCGTGTACTGTTCCGCCTCCTCTGGGATTACACTAAAATATTTGTAGGTAGCAAGCATTAGAAGGCTAAAGATGCTGCCGAGATAACTGCTACTACTGGTACAACTGCCAGAGTGAATATTCCTCCGGTTGTTATTAATACCACAACTACCACTATTTATACACCCACCTAAAGTTTGTCGCTAAGTGTGCTGTTAGGTCTACTATTTCTGTTGCTAGAAGCCGATCTATATCTGTTTTCTGGGCTGCTGCTGTTATTGTTCATATTTTTTCTCAACAGTTAATAAATAAATTACCATTAGCGTTATAATTAGTACTGTCGCTGCATCTGCTGAAACCGTCTTTTGCACTCCTTAACATACTAGCAATTCTAATCTAATCTATGAACTTACTATTGTCTGTGCGACCACTAGAACTAGTGCGGCCACTTCAGCCGCGCTTACTCGTGCTATTTTTATGACCACGATCATTTTAGGCAGTGAAGTCAATTCCTCGGCAACAATGGCTCTCCCACCATTGCGCTTCTACCAATAGTACCGCTCCCGAAGCTGGGATTATCTTTGAAATCAGTATCATTAATGCTGCTGCTATTGCAGTCTATTTGGCAGAGGCTTAAAACGCGGCCTCTTTTAGTCCCTCCCTAATTACCTGCCTACGAATTTCGTACTAATACCAAATCCAGTACGTGGTTTTCTGTTTAATGTTAGGGTTAGTGTTAGTGTTTGGGGGTTAGGGTTAGGGTTTTTATTCAAGGTTTAGGGTTATGATTTAGAGTTAGGGTTTAGGGTTAGGATCTAGAAGTAGGGTTTAGGGCTAAGTTTTTGAGTTATTATTTAGGGTAAGGTTCTAGGGTTATTATATATGGTTAGGGCTTAGGGTTCTCCGATTTTCCAGTGCAACCGCATTTTAGGCCTCTGTCGTTCATTTTACAAATTGCTATTACTGCTTCTGGGGACACCGTCACCAGTAATATCACTGTAGTCACAGTTACTGCCTTCTGGCTACTGGCTGGCACGGCCGGATCCGCACCTAGACGTGCCACCACACCCCTGGTCCACAACTTACGCATGACCATGATTTTGCCCTAACAACAACAACACCCCAGCAGGGGTCATAAGGACGCTTATGATGACTGGGCAGCCATGCCCACCACCTGTATAACTAGCGGGATCGCAAGTCAGGTGTCACGGAACTGCCAGCGAGGGCCGTGGTTTGCTGATACTGGCCATAGCAGATGCTTTCAGACCTTTTGACCTAGAAGGGCGACACGTGGCCCTGCATTCAGCCTGGCCCGTCACCCTTCAAGGTTGGGTCACCAAACAGTCTTCGACTGAGAGGCACTACCCATAGAGCACACAGGCAAACACAATGTCCTCACACTAATGAGAGTGTTACAGAAGGTGCCGTGACAGCCTGACTCTTAGACCACCAGTCCGCCACTCCACACAACAGGGCAGACTGCGTGGACTGAGTTGGGGCGTCAGTCAGCTGCGTCACTCCGAGCCACGGCACTCGACGCACCGTCTTCGTCTCAGACTCCGATCACACATCCAACAGAGGAGCCGCATGGAGAAGAAGGAGTTGCCTAACATACATACTTGCGGCCAAACAGATAAGTCCACTCACTCAACCGTAGGCCAGAATATGAGTGTGCAGTAGCAACACAGTTTTATCCCTTTTAAGGACATTCGTAGCAGACTGTTAACTGCAGAGTACGTCCACTATAACTTGGGCAGGCATAAGGTCTTAAATTTTGACCTGAATCCGCAACTGAACATATGACCCCGGGGATGTGTTTGCACAATTTAACACGAACCAACGGCTGCAATTCAATGCAGATAATGGGAGATAGAGAACACGAAACTCGGCAAGTAGCACCGACAAGGATTTGGAGCACTGGGGTGTTTATTACTGACTTCTGTGCCACCGTCATTTGAGGATAGCATAAGTCCAGGCATCAGGCCTAAGGTTTTAAACGAGTTCGTTAGTCATTGAACAATGCCTTCACTGCACCACTGGATACTCCTACACGTCGGCTGATTCCGGACATACCCAACTACTACTACTACTACTACTACTACTACTACTACTACTACTACTACTACTACTACTACTACTACTACTACTACTACTACTACTATTACTATTACTACCACTACCACTACCACTACTACTACTACCACCACCACCACCACCACCACTTCTAACAGAATTTCGGATGTGAACGTGGCACAGTGAATGCAGAGCTTCCTGCCCAGAGATTTCATTTCAAGGTCCCCTGGGTACTCGCACACGTCGGCTGATTCCCAGCATACCCATCCAATTGACAGTGGAGTTCACCGAACTATCCTGATTACAGGGTGGAATACGCACGATTCGACTTTGCCCTGGAGGATAGTGCCCCTGGGAAAGTATTGAGGACAAAGATGGTAACGCCGGATTGGCCAATTCTGACTATTTTTCGCTATCGGCATACATAGCTTATAATACTGACGCACCCAGGGTCAGAGTTCTGACTCGGCGGATCTTTTTGCGGTTAAGCGCAGTGGCCGCTGGACCCAGGATCAAATTCCTAGCTTACCACAGTATGAGTTGATGACAGTAAACAAGTCAGGAGTGATCATACCAGTGCATCGCGCGTTTGTTGATAAAAGGTCCCGGTTATTTGTTGTTGGTCGCCAGGCGGCCGCCTGCGTGGACTGTAGACTCTCAGCTCCAAAGCAAAGCGTAAAAGCTAATTTCTTCAGATTGGCAGAAGGTCATACGAAGACAGCCCGACGGCGAGTTTACTCGGTGAAAAAGAACAAGAACCGCCTAACCGACCACCCGACACTGGTTGAATCACCTCCCCCCCGACGGAGTGCTGACTTACAAAGCACACAGGCAAAACGCCCGTCGACCATCCCCCGAGAGGCCGAGGCAGCGAATGAGAAAAATCGATTAGGACGAGGCCGACCAACGTGACACGCCACTTGGGATCTCTGGTCGATTAAGGGCATTTTACGTTTTGACAATGGAGATCTGTTGAGCCCATCTTCTTCTTCTGCAGGCTAATTTCTGTCAGATAATCAGGAAAAACCAGTTCACGTCACTCCCGACCTCAACCAACATGACGCGAGCCCGTTGACTCAGCGGTGATCAACTAACTCGAGTGCGTCATAATCCGGGGCTCAATTGTGGGGGAAGGGTGAGGGTACAAAAGCCAGAAATCGACACCCCCGTATTCATATCAACTAGAATTAAATTAGAACTCGAAATCGATCTGTTTTCACCTCTGTCTAGTCAGGCCAGTATGTGTTTACTAACTCTCTTTTTCAGGCGTCTCGTTGTACGGGCAGCGTGTATTTACTCTTTCAATTGTTCCTGTGGAGCGCGATATGCTGGCGTACAAGAAGACGTCTGGAAAAGAGTCAAACAGACGTGAAAACGGATCGATTTCGAGTTCTATTCTTGCACATTATGTCAATACAAATCACCGAGTCGATGCCAAACTGGCCTTTCAGGTTGTCTACCGGACACTGGTAAAGGCATCTGTCAACGGGTACTAACAACAGCCGCGGAGGTGGCTATACGGCTATCGAATCCTGTGTTACGCTGTCAGAAGACGCTGGCACAGACGCTCTGTCTTCTGTGGCCAACACCGACCCCAGATAGTGACCGCATGGCGCCCCGACGCCGATAAGTGTTAACAACCCCTGAGGCATTTATAAACTGCGTCAATTTCTCATATTTTCATTTTATCTGTGACTGTATGGGCCCGATGATGAATTACCGAAAACATAAGTTTGCCAACTTGGGGTCTCAACAGTTTGTCTTTTTTGACACACGCTTCAGTCCGAACAGCTCTCACACCCGGCACCCCACCGAGGACCGTAAATACCCATTTCCACCC